GAAAACGCGTGTAAATCGGTGAAATCGTTTATTTAAAAAATCAAATTAAATTTCTTTTTCAAGTTCAATTAGTATAAAATTCAGGAAAAATATTCAGTTAGGCTTCCGCTTTTCCAAATCCGAATTGCCGGGCCTTACGCTTGACCCCTGCCATCAGATTTTGTACAGCCACCTTGTCCACCTTCTTCGCCGCAGAAAGCCAGTTTGCCTTGAACTGCTGCTCGCCCTTAGCAGTTTTTTTGGTCTTCTTTAGGTTCCGCTTGACAATAGCCCAGTATTTCTCAATTGGGCGGAGCTCTGGCGTGTTGGGAGGGTTCTTGTCCTTGGGAACCACCTGCACGTTGTTGGCGGCGTACCACTCCATGGCCTTTTTACCGTAATGGCAAGATGCCAAATCCGGCCAAAACAGTACGGAACAACCGTGTTTCTTCAGGAAAGGCAGCAGACGTTTATTCAAACACTCTTTCACGTAAATTTCTTGGTTGACAGTCCCGGAAGCTATGAAAATGCTGCTTTTCAAGCCACAGGTACAGATGGCTTGCCAAACCAGATATTTCTTTGCGAACTTTGACAGTTTCATGTGCTTGAAAACATCTGCTACCTTTCCCCTTCCTTTTGCCGTATAAAACTCCTGTCCCGGAAGCTGCTTGTAGGCGGCTTTGACGTAGGTTTCGTCGTCCATTACCACGCAGTCAAACTTCGTCAGCATCGTCGTGTACAGCCTCCGGGATCGCGCTTTGGCCGTCGTATTTTGTTTATCATCGCGATTTGGAGTCACTACCTTCTTGTAAGTCGATAGTCCGGCTCGTTTTTTGGCTCGATGCACGGTTGTAGACGATACACCCAGCTTATTTGCGGCATCTCGGAGAGAGAGGTTAGGGTTTCGCTTGAAACTACCGGCAACTCTCTTTGTCGTCTCAGCGGCTTCCGGTTTTCGATTTCCCCCCGATCCAGACTTCCTGGCTGTCGACAAACGTTCCCCAAACACTTTAATTACATTTGTAACGGTTGATTTGGCAACTTTTAGCGATTTTGCCAACTTTGCGTGCGAGTAGCTCGGATTTTCGCGATGCGCGAGCAAAATTTTGATACGCTGCTCTTCTTGCTTGGACGGCATTTTGACAACTGAAGAGTGAATTCTAAAATCAAAATAGGAGCAACATTCTACACACACACCTTCAAAATGAGGGGTGTTCAGGTTTTTTAAATGCAAAATTGAAAGAAATACGTCAAGTTGATATTGACCAAATTTTGACCGTATCACCCTTTAATAAATTACTTATTACAAAAATCCGGAGAACTTTGAGATTTGGGCGTAATTACTTTTGTAAACAAACACGTCAATCAACAATCTCGCAAACAAACTATATCAGATGATAGGGAACCATTCCTCTACCTGTTTGTGTTGTTAGTTTTTGAGATTGAGATTTAATTCGCGAGACATCGTCAAATGACGTGTTTGTTTACAAAAGCAATTACGCCCTAATCTCGAAGTTCTCCGGAAATGTGTGTTTTGTGACTCGGGCAGACAATTCACTTTGGAGAAGCATGACTGTCACTATGACAATTCTATTTGTCATACGCATGGTCCGCACTTTTTTTCATTTAAGGACTACAGTAAGGTGCAAAATACGCAATAAGAGTTAAAAGCTATATTTTGGCGCCATCTATGCGGATCAGTTTTGAAATATTTGTGTAAATATACCAAAAGATAGTCCTAATTATAATAAGCAACCTTGCTCAAGACACCAAGTCCTGGAAATGCTTCGTTTCGGAGTTATTAATTTTGTCTCGCTAGATTGCATTCCTGGCCATATCGAAGTGTGCTGTGCTCGTTGCTGGATGTGTTTGTTTTATTCGGTCCCAGATCGTTTTGTTTTGTTGTTGTTGCTGCTGACATTTTCTGAAGAATTTTAGCTATTTTTTGTAAATGACTTCAAAGGTCCTTATTACCGATGTCACTTCACGGTGAAGTGATTCCCATTTGATTTACATGGCAGTCACTTCACCGTGAGTGACAAGTTTTCACCGTGAAGTGACACCCGTAATAAGGGCCAAATAAGCACCTTGCCGGCGCCGGTGGTGTAGTGGTAAGCGTGACTGCTTTCTCACCCCAATGGGTTCAATCCCAGCCGAGGTCGGTGGGATTTTTCTGAGGCATTAAAATCTCTGGTCACGTCATCCTTCGGAAGGGAAGTGAAACCGTTGGTCCCGGGCCATGAGTGTTGAATGGGTGCGATAACTTACGCAGGTGTGGAAGCTGCCTTCCTGCACATTCGATTGCCGTCAATGGATGGCAATCGATGTCCTTCGGTGATTGGAACTAGATTGCGGAACAGAGACCGACGTTAAATAAAGGACTGATGATGACAAATTAGCGCCTGTCTTTCGAACGAACCTTTTAATGATATTCCAGGATCAATTAGTGATGTGTGCATGGAAGATTGTGAACAATAGCTGCTGTAAAATAAACATCTATGATCAAGAGGAGGAGAACGATGGCGACTTTAATGCCTTGAGACCGAATCCATCTAAGCAGAATTTGGTGAGACATGTCCATATTATTTTATTCTGATTATTTCATAACACATTGGGGCTTATTACGGATGTCACTTCACGGTGAAAACTTGTCACTTGTCGTGAAGCGATTCCTATTTGATTTGCACGGCAATCACGGCTCTTATTATGAGTATCACTTCCTTATCACCGTGTAGTGACACATGTAATAAGGCCCTTTATATTATATATATACCTATGTTTGGAGATATAGAGGGACCATTTAAAGCGACTTGGATATGGCAGTAAAATCATAGAGGTAACTCTAAGACCAGAAGGTCCCGAAGAAACGCGCTCAACTTTTTGGCTCAGCTCTTCGGTCCCAAGCTAATCGATGCACCCCTCGAAACATGGGAAAATCCACGAACCCCTTATTTTATCTGTCAAGCTTTCATAGAGAATCAAAACAAACATAGTGTAGTACTATAATTTCGACTAGAATGGGATACGTTAATCGATTTGCTTGGGACCAATAGGCTAGTCAAGTAGTGAGCCAATTTTAAATCGTTAGTTTCCATCGGTTGGTAAAAATGTCAACTCCCTGTTGTTAACAATTCGTGGTAAAGGAAGGGATCTGCTCCACACTCTTTGGCACACTGTTTGGCGGTTTCTTTTTTTGGGGTAATTGTACGATCATGTTGCTGGAAGGAGATACTTTACTTTCCCGTGGAGGCTGGCAAGCGACGTTGCCTATCGATTCAAGCAACCCATTTTTGGCCCTCCATATAGTGACATGTTGAGAGCAATCAGAGACAATTAAGGTTCAATTTACTTTGATGTTTTTTGGAAAATTTCAAAAGCAGCTTTTTCCGACGCATTATTTTAGATTGCAAAAAGCTCGCACTATTCGATTCCTTTTGATATTTTACACAAAATGACGCGAGCTTTTTGCGATCTAAAATAATGCGTCGAAAAAAACTGCTTTTGAATTTTTAAAAAATGCATCAAGGTAAATTGAACCTTAAGCTTGATCAAATCAAATAATGAGAAGAGCCCGCTGCTATTGGAGTTAGTTTGCGTGCTACAATGAGTGACAGACAATAAATTATCATCATTCATCATGCATCATGGGATAGACACGAGTGGCACGATCTTCAGAACGTCCATCTAGCTTCTTCACTTTGGCGATGACACCGACATCATTGCCCAGAACTTTGAGACGATGGCGCAAACGTACATCAGACTGAAGGCTGAAGCTAGGCGGATTGGACTTGCCATCAACGCATCAAACACGAAATACATAAGAGGAAGAGATCCGACAATATTAACCTCCCACCCCAAGTTCAGATTGACGGTGACGAAATCGAGGTGCTCGACAAGTTCGTGTATTAGGGCTCACTGGTGACCGCCGAAAATGATACCGGCAGAGAAATTCAAATACGCATTATGGCAGGGAATCGTGTCAACTTTGGACTTCGGAGGACGCTTCGGTCAAATAATATTCGCCACCACACGAAGTTGACTATAAACAAGACTTGGACTATGCTAGTGGAGGACTAACTTGGTGATTTCGAATGGAAAGTATTGCGGAACCACTTACGGTGGAGTGCAGATGGAAGATGGAACGTAAGGAGTCTAATGAACCACGAATTGCACCAGCTGCTGGGAGAATCATCTATTGTCCACACTGAGCGGCGCCGGTGGTGTAATGATAAACGTGATTGATTCTCACTTCAAAGGGTCTGGGTCCAATCCCAGACGGCGCCGCCGGGATTTTCTGAGGTATAAAATCTCTGATCATGGTAAAGCCGTTGGTCCCCGGTCCATGAGTTGATGGGTCGATAGGTAGGGTCCAGATATGGGAGCTGGCTCCCATTGGTACGCAATACGGAAAACAAGATCGACGGAAATCAAATCAAGGAGAAAACAATCATCCAAAATCGGGTGAAACGGTGGGTTAGAAACGTCGTAAAACTGCCATACGACGACCCAGTGAAAATAGCGGCAAGGACAAGGTGGATCGACCAAGGCGACCTGCGGACCCTTCGCAGAGACTACGAGGCTGGCGACGTGTGGCCATGGATCAAGTAGAGTGGAGACGACTTCTTTGGACAACAGAGGACATCAAGGCCTTAGCCAGTCATGCATCATCATGAATGTTACATCACAATTCAAATTCAGATTTATTTTCACTGTCACCCATTTTAGTTTTCTTTTTGATTAATCCATTTTAGTTTGCACTAACACTTCAGCATCATTAAGCAAACATCATTTTTGTCGAGATCTCGGTAAGATTGGCTATGAGTCCTGTACTGCAATTGTGTTGTCGTTAAGTTTAAGATCGATTCCAATTTTTGATTTTCAACAACAATCTCATAGTTAAGAAAAAATTGAGAGTTGTGATCTTCCTAAGATCCAAGGAAAATTTGCAAGCGTCATTGATCCGTCTGTTAATCTGTGATAATTAACCGAAGAAATAAAATAGAACTAATCAATCTACATACCCCATTGGTTTCGGTGTCGTCGGTTTATTGCTCACGATGCTGTTATTATTGTTATTGATTCCATTCGCGGCAATTCCATTAACCATTGGCGGTGGTGCCGATGGTCCCCGGCTGCTGACATTATTATTCCGCTCACTCGTCAGTCCCTCGATCTCCTGCTGAATCACCGACTCTAGCTCCACGTCCAAGTCTTCCACCAGGTTGTCCATCTGATCGCCAATTTCGTCGATAATGGCGTTGGAATTGACACCGTTCGGTTGCACCTCGCTAAGAAAGGCGAACAGATTATCAAGATCGACCGATTCGTTGCTCTGCTGATGGGCATGGTTGGCACCACCGGAAGTGGTCACCGGTATAGCCGGTGATGCGGTACCGGAACTGGCATTCCCATTAAGGAGGGCATCTTTGCCGATATTGTTGTTGTTATTGTTGTTGTTGGCTGCATGCTGTTGCTGTTGCGAGTGTAGCTTGGAGTTAATTTGCTCTGCCATTTGCGATAGGGCGAGGATCTCTTGCTTAGCCACCCTGGAATGTGGGGGTGTTTGGGAGTTAGAAGAAAAATAGCAGCGTGAGTTAGAGTGGTTAAATACGATGATCAATATGACAGCATTAAGCTTGAAGCATTTGCAAGTTAGCTTAAATTCATCAGAATGTTAAACGCTCAGACATTGATCGGATCTACAGTACTCTCCCGTTAATTTTCCGAATTGCACACTCAGTTTTGTATTCCCCATTACGGCTATATTTTGCCGAGATTTGCACAACCGAGTTTCCGATACTCAGCAACCAAACGTTACATTTACTGAGATCGCAGCCAAAAATGATTGACGGGAGCTCGGCTGTGCGCATGACGTTGTCTTTTGACATTCTGATGAATTTGATATCCTATTAAGAGATTTGACAATCAAATTGATGATAATCGAATGATCTAAATCGGTACACACACACATATGATAATCTACCTACTAAAACGAAAAAAAAACATGATAATTCAATGAGTTAGCGATACAAACAAGGAGCAAACATCGATTGTCGACCAAAAATATGCAACAGTCAACAAGTTACACAACATCGGAAGGAACCAACTCACCCCTCCTCGGAGCTAGTCCGGTGTCCATCACTACTATTATGCATGCTTCGGTTTCTTTTTTTTTCAGTCAATAGTGATTAGTATTGAAGTTGTAGCAAACGGCATTCAATGTATAGGTTAGGAATTTAAATGTCAAAGCAAAAACCGAGATGAACAGAAGGGATGCAGCAAAAGAGACGCAGATTTACGCAAGCGAAACACATTAATTTCATAAAAAGGTAAAGGTGGTTCGTCGTTTGTTTGGCACAAATTTAATTTGACATTTGACATCAGGAAAGAGTTTCGTTCAGCATATGACAGCGGTTATAACGACCGAGAGTAAAATCAAAAGAAGTACCAGAGTCAAATTGGCAAAGCTGAAAACGTTGATAAAGTCAAATCAATTCTCAGAGTCGATTGAGAATTCTATTTTCTACGGGCTTGTACACTTTCTGGCACGGAGCCATAGCGAGCCTTTAGAAGCGTCCGTAGAAAAAAGAATTAGATTTAGAAGAGAATCCCAAGCAACTACAGAAACGGATGCAAAAAATGAAATCTAGAACCGAAAAGCCATTTTATAAACAATAATCAATTGACGTTCACTGCAAACAGAAAGAATTGAAAAACTACAGATTCTACAAGACCCCAACCAAAAGCAATAACAAGCCACTAACCTTTCACTTTCCTCCAGTGCCCTTCGGTCGGCTTCGGCTTGCGCTGCCTCCCGTTCCTTGCGTTCCGCTTCCAGTCGTTCCCTCTTTCGCATCTCTTCGTCCACGCGACGCATTTCGCGTAGCGCCGTTGCCACCTCCCTCGCAAAAACCCCCCGCAGGTGACTCTGGATAACGATCGCCGCTCGACGCTTCTTGAGAAACTCGATCCGCAGCTTCCACCCTTTGTAGGCATGCTGTATCCTGAGTGCGGCTATCCGTATCTTTCCGTAGCTTCGTTGCTGGCTGTACCGCTTCCAGTTTCTTTGGATTATCAAGGCCTTCGAGTGGATGACCTGCTTACGGGCGTCCTCGAGCGGTTCGTGGACAACGCTCCGTAGAAATACTTTGGTTATGCCGGTTTGCCACTCCGTTTGCGGGACGTTAAGTTCCCGAATAACGGCCAGGGCCTGATCTTTGCTGGAGAGATTTTGGAAGCGCTTCGTGAGGCATTGGTACCGCTGAACGAAATCATCGAAGGTCAGATGTACCGGGAAACCTTCCCGACGGATCCGAATGATGTCCAGCATGCCCAGATACCGGAGTTGATCCAATACCAACTGATCGTCGTAGTCGTTTGGCAACTTGTCCGCATTCGGTTTGATGCAGCGGACGTACCAAGGGTTCGTGCTCTGCAGCACATCAACCAAAGCCTGTAACTGCTGCCGGAAGGTATCACTAACCGTGAGTTTCCCCTTGGACGTCCCTCGAGAAACGGTTCCCACCGTGGAAGCCGTCTGCACCTGCTGGATGGAAAGCAAATCCTGGAAAGATGCGATCTCCTGAACGAAGCTATTCGAACTCCGACTCATGTGATCGAAAAGCACATCCTGCAGAACGTCCCGGTTCTTGTCCACGAAGCCTTTAACCGTATAGCTTACACAACCCGCGTAGTGTCGGATACCAAACTCCGACTCCCAGTGCCGTCGATCTTGACCTTTGACGTATCGGGGATGACTCTCAAACTCACCGTGCAGATTGGTAAGGTAGGCCGTGTCCGAACCCTTTGGCATATGGCACTGCTCCGTTAGAAGCTTCAGAATACAGCGGGGTGGCTTCTCGATCAACTCCAAACACTGAGTGTTGTCCGTGAACTGGATATGCGAGAATTTAATCTCCTCTTGACGGTACTGTGGGAGAGATAAAGTTATTTAAGTAATTTTAACGATCAAAATAGATAATAGCACTTACAATTTCCTGCTCCAGAGCAAACACGTAGTGATTGAAGAACTTGTGCAGTTTTTCGTTGGTGTAGTTGATGCACAACTGTTCGAACGAGTTGGTATTGAAGTTCTCAAACCCGAAGATGTCCAGCACCCCCAAAAATCGGGACGCATCCTGACCCGGATTGATGCAGGTATTGATGTGACTGATCAACCATGCGAAAGTCGTCGAATACAGTGCCTTTGCCATGGCGTGTCGATTCTCGCGAGCCTCCGGCAGCTTCAATGGAATCTCTGTGATGTTCCCTCGAACATTGATCTGCCGTTTCTGCAGTACCTGCTCTAAATCACTGACCTGCAGTCCAAGCAATTCTGCCACGATCGGAACGATCGTTTTGTCCTCCTCCGTTAGTTCACACCGTTCGCCGTCAATGTCGGCAAAGTCCAAATTACCTAACCACAGTATGGCACTAAGTACCTTAAAGATCCCATCGATCAAGGGTTGCGAGATCTGTAGCACATTGAACGCTAGTCGCAAGGCTTCGAATTTCTTCGATTCGGCTGCGATGTCCAGTTCATCCTGAGCGGAAGACTCGGAAGAATTCAGATACCGATAGAAGGCTGCATCCTTCATGTGCAAGAATGCAGCCACTTCTTTGTTGTTGCAACCCTCGGCTATCAGCTGGTAGAGCACGTGGTAGTTCCGTTCCCCCGGGCTTTGAAACGTTATTCGCGACTGCTCCAGCAGGTAGTCCTGAATGATGCAACCCTTGATGCACCATTTGGAGTCGAAGCATACCTGCATGAACTTGCCGAACCGGGAGCTGTTGTCATTTCGGATGGTTTTGGCATTGCCAAACGCTTCCAGGATTGTGTTGGCTTCGAGGATCTGCTGCTGGACCCAGGTGGATACATCGCACGTCACCGAGCACAGGTACTGCAGGATGAATTTGGTGGTTTCGGTCTTGCCGGCACCGGATTCACCGGAGATGACACATGACTGCAAGAATGGAAATGTACGGTTAGCGATGGAGGACAACATTTAAGAAAACAGAGACTTCACGGGATTGGTCTGTTAAATTTTAATCGATGAGTTTGAATTCAAGTGTTTTCGTGAATGGCATCTTCAGATCGATACGTAAGCCTTTTTTATGGTATATTCAAGTCAGGTATACCTCTATATAACGTAACTGCCCCTTTTGGCTATCATCGTCCATTTCTCACAAATAACAACTCAATCATATAAACCAACATTACCAATAGATGGAGGATTGTCTCATCTATCTGATGGTGTTTTTACTATGCAAGATTGAACGGCCGTGTGCAAGAACACGAGAAAGTCAAAAGTGACAGTTACGTTATATCGAGGTATATCTGTATTTCAATGTTTATCCGCAAATCTGTCTGGAGATAGCTTTTGGAACATTTGAAGTCGCAATTTTTACCGCACAGAACTTGTCAATACCTTTTGCAGATCAAGATTTATTGACGTTTATCTTATACGTTCTGTCACACATTGTAGGAACCCCCACTCCCCAAAAAGTGGATGTCATATTTTAAACGCCCCCTAGAAAATAGATAATTACTTCGTTTATCGATCTGTGATGTGAAAACAATTGAAAAAAACTCCGTAGTAAATTTTTTATAAATTTTAATATGTGGGCTAAACGAAGGTATGAAGAGAAGATTTAATACTTTGCATCAGTCCTAAAGGTTGAACACGAAACAATCCGGACACGAAAGTCTTTTGGGGTTTGAAATACAGCTATACATAAGTAGGTATTATGTTTATTGTAAGACCATTGTTTTAGTCTTCCATAGGCCATTGCTCGAACTTTTCTTCGTGCACGGCCCATCATCTTTTGCACGAGCCCTGTTCCCACTTGTTTGGTTGCCAAATTCCATTTTCGCTTGATATCCTTCAGGTCAATTGCAGTTCCACCCTTTTTCTTCAGTATGTGCTTCACAATTGATAAGTATTCATCAATTGGCTTTAGTTCCGGAGTATTGGTCGGATTCATCTCATTAGAACCACTGTGACGCCAGTTTAGCTGTACCACTGTTTGGTGGAATTTGAGTAATGGCAGCTTGCTAAGTTCTGCCAGAATAGGCAATCCACCTCATGCTGCTCCAGAAAAGGCAGTACCCAAGTAACCGATAAAACTCACTTCCAAGTTTCATAAAGTTCAAATAAAGTTCCGACAGTTCCTTCAAGTTCCATAAATTTCGAATAAAGTTCTGACAGAGCTTTCTTCCCAAGCAACCAAAAGTTCCACGTTCAACGATAAAACCCACTTTCAAGTTCCATAAAGTGTATATAAAGTTCCAAATCAACTTTCTGGCTACTTTAGAAGCTATAGAAAGCACACGAGGGACTTCAGGCTCCAAAAAGTTCCGATGCGTAATCCTAGCAACTTGAAGTTCAAATCAAAGTTCCAAAAAGCATTCGTAAGCACTTCTTAGAAACTTCAGGCAAGGCTGAATACATGGCCACAACAAAGTTCCAAACATGTTCCCAGCGGAACTTCTTAGCAATTTTAAAGTATCTTAAAAGTTCCCTGCGGAACTTCTTAGCAACTTCAAAGTTTCTTAAAAGGTCCATAATAGCCCACATGAAGCAATCCGCACAAGTCTTTTTTATGAATAAGAAAATTAATGTGCGTAAATATGAATTGATAAGTGGCTCTAATAAATCATAATTCTTATATTTGTACAGTGCATCTCCAAACATTAAAAAAATTAAAGAGCAATTTCCTGGATTCGAACGCGTGTATTCGGCATGCGATCTACGAGCTCAAACCACTGCAGTCCGTCAGCTGGCACGGAAAACTCCAACAGTAGGCGGGACAACAGCTCACTTTTATATATCTCAGATAACGTAGCGGTTCGTGCTGAGGCTCTCAGGCAGAAGGACTGGCATTAATTCTTCAAACAGCTCCAATACTACTTCTAATGCTGAAAACTTTCATAAAGACCTGACTTTAGAAATAACTTTCATAAAAGAGCGAACTAAATATAAAATTGGTGCAGAGGACAAAAACCTTTTCTTACTTATTTTCTAAAAGTTCCGTTCGAATTCTGCCAGAGGCTGCTTAGAATGCTCTTCAACTATGGTACCGGAACATTCAAGTTCGTATAACGACTTAAAATGAGGCTGATTAGAGTTCTATATACTACCTTCAACTAAGCTGCATAAGCCACAAATAGCATTTTATCGAAGACAACAAAGGTAAATGCTTCGATCAAATTTGATAGCAAAGATTACATCCTCAGAAGAAAGGTTTGTGTATTTGCTCAGTTTTCTATGCGTTGCTTCCACCTTCGCTGAAGCGCAGCGCTACTGTACCTGTCACTTGGATTCTGGCAAAGTTGCCAGCCTTCTTGATTTGTTGTCTTCGCTTTTATCCAAAGGGTACACACTTAGAAAGAATCACCGACTTCGGTAATTAATTAACCGAATTCTCAACAGCTGAACCAACAAACTAAGCTATTAAATTGGCTCACTACTTGACTAGCCTATTGGTCCCAAGCAAACCGATTAACATTTAGCAAACCCATTCTAATCGAAATTCTAGTACTACACTAGGTTTGTTTTGATTCGCTATGAAAGTTTGACAGATAAAATGAGGGGTTCGTGGATTTTCTTATGATTCGAGGGGTGCATCGATTAGCTTGGGACCGAAGAGAGTACCAGAACTGAGTCAAAAAGTTGAGTTACCTCTATGGCTGAACGGTCGGTAATGTTTTTGGTAATCGAGAACATTACCGCAAAATCTGTAAACTGGATCAGCAAAATTACCTGTCAAGTTTACAGAGGCGTCGCGTGCCTCATTTGTGTACTTGTGCACCAGTCTTTGTTCGTTATAGTTTGCCACCACATATTAGTTTCTTTTTTTTCAATGCTTAATGAATTCGAGGGACATATTCTCAATTCCTATATTAATCGCTACCTAACGTAACATTTGAAGGGCCTATCATCTTGTGTAAACAAAACTTGTGTGGCCCTTTTCGCACTAACCGAAGTAGGAGGAATTGCAAAACTTAACTTATTCTCGTTTTTATCACAAGGCTTACTCTTTCGACTGAAGTGTAATGAAGAATATCTGTCAAACACTTCCGAAAACATTTTTTGATACAAAACAGTGTCAAAATCTAAAGAAAATTCATGAAGTCCCCTGGGTAGCAAACTTGAATTAATCAACTCTTTATTCATCAAAACAACACTATCAGAATGAACCAGGGGAAGCTCAGAAGTTTTGAAAGGCGCACCGGCGCAACCATCGATAACACTAGTTTACAGCATTTTTGAACTCGGTAAGGTGATGATCATTTCCAATGCAAAATCCTACGCTGAATTTAATGCCGTGGTCAGAAAAAATTAAAGTAGAGCCATTTTTGAGATATACAAAAATTTTGATTTTTTGAATTTTGGACAAAAGTACGATTACTAAAATGTCAATATCTTTGGAACTAGTGCACCAATTTTAAATTTTTTTTTATGAAAATGAAGCTATCGTTCACTAAAATATTATGTCTTAATTAAAAATTTAATTTTGAAGTCATTTAAAAATTTACAGCATTTCAGCGAATTTTCCATAAAAATCTTGTTTTAATCAACATTTTTAATGGGATAAAAAGATTCAAAAAATCATTCCATAATTTATTCTTAAAGTCCATTCAAAACCGGAGAAAATGGATGAAATCGGTTGGAAATTGTCGAAGTTATGAGCATTTTTGTAAAGCACTTAAAAATGTTGCTGAAATACAACAGCTTTAGAGTTCCTTTTCTAGGTGTCGTTGTAAGCATCCAAATTGCATGTAAAGTTTTCATGGGAGATTCTTTTCTCTTCATATCAATTTGATTAAGGCATATCAGGATTTAAAACCAAGTTGATACAAAAGAAATTTATTTAGGTTTTATTAAAAATGATTGAGAATCGAATGACTTTGTCTTCGATGTTTTGAACTTGTTTCTCGAATCAGAAACCAACAATAGTCACCCATCATTGCTTCATCCCAAAACCCTTGGTAACGACGTTCCATCATCTTCATTTGTTGGTGAAAACGTTCGCCGTGCCCATCACTCTCGTCACCAAGATTTTCCGGGAAAAAATCCATGTGAGAATGTAGGAAATGTATCTTCAAAGACATATTCACACCTGTGTTCAGTGAAATAAAAGGATTTGAAATTAATTATATGTAACAAACACAATATTTTTGATTTAAACCTATTTTCTCATAATTTTTGAGCAATTCATCGACGGCTTCCTCATAATCTGGGCTTCTGAAATTTCCTAAAAAGGTTGTGACAACACGCTGGAACAATTTCCACGCTTCTTCCTCATCTGGTGTCAAAACTGTATTGAATGCGGAATCATTGAGTAGTTTTTTGATCTGTGGGCCAACAAATACACCTTCCTTTATCTTTGCGTCAGATAAATTTGGAAATACTGATTTTAAGTACTGGAATGCCGGCCCTTCTTTTTGCAACGCTTTGACGAAATTTTCGAATAGCCCAAGTTTTATATGTAGTGGTGGAAGTATTCATTTACCACAAGAGGATCATTTTTAACGTTGTCTTTACCAATTATGAAATTATCCCGTTTTGGCCAATCTTTTCGGACGTAGTGTTCCTTACGAGCTCGACTGTCCCATTTACACAAAAAACACATATATTTTGTGTATCCCTGTTGCAATCCAGTCAACATGGCAACCACTTTAAGATCGGAAAAAAATTTCCAATTGTGTTGATTGTAATTTATCAAATTGAGCAATAGAGCCATTGATTCATACGTTTCCTTCATATTAACGGCATGAGCTAATGGAATAGAAGGTTTCTCATTCCCTTGATGCAGTAAAACGGCTTTCAAGCTCAACTTGCTGCTATCAATGAATAAACGCCATTCAGCTGGATCATATGGCTCACCAAACTCTTCAAACAAGCCGTTTACGTCATGGCAAAAACATGCCTTGTCCTTTGTAGAATAATATTTGTCAAAT